TGGGTGAAAGAGAGATGAAATCTTGCTCTTTAATAACAACTAATCACCACTCCCCAACGCCTGCCCTCCTCTTCCAACATTGTCGTTGCGTTAAGAGATTTCATCGAATGAAATGAAACACACACACACACAGGGGAGGCCGCCGATTAGGGGTGAATAGGGGCTTAAGCGACGCGTTGTGGCAATGATCCCACAGCGTAACCGATGCAGCTTCTGCCTACTCAGAAGCGTCGACTGGCCAATCCAAGTTGGAGAAAAAGCAAAGTATACCATCGCAAGGACACATCCTGCTTATCCTCTTGACAGCCAATTGGTAGAGGAATAAGTGGGTGAAAAATCACATTCAACGATCAGCGGGTGGATCAAGTAGAAATTGTATTACCGAGGGTTGTTTGGAGAACACGTAATGAAGGAATGAAAGAGGAAATGACAAACCAAAGACGGATGGATTAAGAAGGATGAATCAATGTATGACAAGTGAATTGCCGAAATGCAAAGGAATGAGTGGTTCAAGGACATAGTGTTGGATCCGGAAATATTCACCTGAATAAATGGATGGATGGATGAATGGAAGATGATGAAAAAAAGTAGGAAGTGGATAAATGAAGAAATGGAGACTGCACAAAGACGTAGGAAACATCAGGCCTCAGGTCTAAAACGGCAGGGCTAATCTGATGTCTTCAAAAATCTTATTCTGTGGGTAGCACTTCTTCCAGATGAGGCCATGTTACAAAGACCAACATGCAGCCAATACTAGGATACTGGAATAACATCTCACTGACTAGGCATTTCAGGCATATTCCACCAGTAGACAATATTTCGGAATTCAATCGACCAATTAGACTCTTATTTGGGTTATGATAAGGAGCCAAATATTCTTCAGTCCAAAAAATAATGTGCCAGAAAAAGAAGTAAAATAGGAAAAAATCAGCTAGTTAAATTCAAAATGACCCACTGTAGGAATTAGGACAACTGCAGAAAAGGTATCTAGTAGAGGAATACGCCTGACCGCCTTTACGAGGACATTACAAAAAATAAAAATGAAAATATGGCGTACAGTGGACAAGAGACTACATGAAGCGCAACCTTCTCAACTCACCGACACGTCACAAGGCCGCTTGCACATCCGCTCAAAACTACCTCCAGTGGGCTGCTGGTTCACGCCACTGGCAACAAGTATCGCCTCCACAACAGCTGACCCGGACCAGACGCAGTTCAGTCCAGCCCAGCCCAGCTTAGCCCAGCTTAGCCCAGCGCAGAGAAAATGAAGGGTTAAATGAAGGATGCGACGAAGTGTCTCCTCCAACAATTGCTCGAATAAGTCGACATCATCCAAGGGAATGACAAGCATAT